AACACAATTACATATGGAACTCGAGCAGCTCCTTACCTAGCAACAATATGTCTGCAAAAGATAGCATTAGAAAATAAGGTGAATTATCCATTGGGTGCTTAAATCCTGTGTGGCAATTTCTACGTTGACGATGGGCTCGGTGGATCAGATAGTTTAATTACGGCTATTGAAGCTCAAAGACAACTAATCCATATTTTGAAGAAGCATCATTTTTGTCTTCGGAAATGGAGCGCAAACCATCCTCAACTTTTAAAAAACATTTCTCAAGATGATCAAGAGGTGAATCTAGATTTCGATAATAACGAGTCAATCAAAACGCTGGGACTATTTTGGTTGCCCAAAGCAGATTTATTTGGAATAAAGGTCAAAATGGTTACTGAAGGAATAATCACGAAGAGAGTCGTTAGTTCTGATTTAGCTAGACTGTTCGATCCACTTGGTTTAGTAGCTCCAGTAATAGTCAAAGCAAAGATTTTCATACAACACTTATGGCAGTTGAAATTATCTTGGGATGAACCACTTCCTACAGATCTTTGTACAACATGGTCAACATTCAGAGAAAACTTAAGTACTCTTGAAAATCTTCAGGTGGCAAGACATATCTTCAGAGGCGAGGTTCCATCATCAACACAGCTACATATTTTTGCTGACGCATCTGAAAAGGCATTTGGTGCTGCAGCATATGTCAGAGCAATTTTAAAAGATGGTAGAATAATAGTGCGACTGTTATGTGCAAAGTCAAGAGTAGCACCACTCAAAAAACAAACGCTACCGCGACTAGAACTATGTGCGGCAGTCCTAGCAGCGGAACTCTCAGCAAGAGTGAATAGCGATCTTCAAGAGAAGGACCAGCCGGTATTTTTGTGGACTGATTCAGAAATTGTGTTGTCTTGGATCAACTCACAGTCCTCATCATTTCAAACATTTGTAGCTAACAGGGTGGCAAGAATTCAAACTTTAACTCTGTCTGAACAGTGGCGACATGTTAGGTCAAAAGACAACCCAGCTGATGTGTTATCAAGAGGACTTTCAGCAAGGGCGTTGTCAACATGTGCACTTTGGTTTCAAGGACCGTTCTTTTTGCATGGAAGGCAGGAAGTATGTCCACCAAGGTTTTCATCATCATTACAAGTTCCAGTCGATCTGGAGAAGAAGAAGGTTGTAGCTGTAGCAACTCAAAGCAATGACGCAGATTTCATATACAGGATTCAGCACAAGAATTCATTTAAGACGTTACAAAAGATAGTAGCATATGTTCTTAGATTCACTAACAACGCAAGAAAATCAAAGGAGTCACGTGCCACACATATAGTACTTAGTGCCAACGAATTGGATGCAGCATTAATAACTATAATATGTCACATTCAGGGTAATGATTTTCATGAAGAAATCAAACAACTGAAGAAACAAGGTCATGTTGATAAATCTAGTTCAATCAGTAGTTTATCTCCATTCATTGATAATGCAAATGTTCTTAGAGTAGGAGGACGCTTAGAAGCCTCATCATTACCATACGATTCTAAACACCCAATGCTGATCCCATACAATGATCCATTGGCAAAATTATTATTCGTGATGTTCCATGAAGAAAACAAGCACTGTGGCCCGCAGGCACTATTGAGTATAATCCGACAACGTTTTTGGCCGATTAAAGGTAAATCAACAGCCCGAGCAACGGTTCAGCGATGCATTCGATGCAACAAAGCACGTCCGCAATTATGCCAACAAATTATGGGCAATTTACCAGAATCAAGAATAACTCCTGCAAGACCTTTCATTAATGCTGGTGTAGATTATTGCGGACCATTTTGGATCCACTACAAGGTGAGAGGCAAAAAGCCAACAAAGGCATATATTGCTGTCTTTTGTTGCTTTTCTACAAAGGCGGTACATCTCGAGTTAGTGACCGACTTATCAACAAATGCTTTCATTGGAGCATTAAAACGATTTATAAGTCGACGAGGGCGTTGTTTGAATATTTACAGTGATAACGCAACAAACTTCGTAGGCGCCAAAAACCAGTTAGCAGAATTAGAAGAAAACATTTATTCTAATGAAGGACAAGAAGCAATAATCTCTGCCTGCAGTACCACAGGAATAAATTTTCATTTTATTCCACCAAGAGCTCCACACTTTGGCGGTTTATGGGAAGCATCCGTAAAGTCCGCAAAATATTTGTTACTACGCAGCATTTCAACAGCATCATTGACGTATGAAGAACTCGAAACAGTAGTGGTGGAAATTGAAGCGATATTAAATTCACGACCATTGACTCCAATGTCCAATGATCCAAATGATTTGACAGCATTAACTCCAGGACACTTATTAATTGGAGAAGCTCTTACAACTCATGTAGACAGCCGATCGAAACCAGAAAAACACACGTTAGTGTCACGTTGGAACCTAGTTTCCCAGTTAAAACATAATTTCTGGAAACGCTGGTCTAACGAATATTTAATGGAACTGCAACAACGTAACAAATGGAAAACACAATCTGCCAACATACAGTTAGGAGACATGGTTATAATCAAAGAAGATAACGTCCCAGTGATGCAGTGGCCCTTGGGACGAATTGTACATGTGTACAAGGGTACAGATGGACATATCCGAGTAGCTGATGTTAAAACATCGGCAGGCATTTTTAAACGCCCAATTCATCGATTAGCTATACTGCCTGTAAATACAGATGATCAACCAACAATGGCTGAAGCTGATCACGAAGTACCTCCTGACAAGTTAATTATGAAAGATAGAAAAGAGTCGTATGAAGAGCCCAAGACAAAACGTGGAAAACTGCCGACCAATTTGTACTGTTCTGTATTACTTACACTATTACTGATATTGCCAATAGTAATAGGATCTCCAATTGACAATAAAAGGTTTGGCACAAAATTGGGTATTCACTTTGAAAATCTGGGCACAACTGCCATATCAACCACTGAATGGAATCTACTAGTTTATTATGATTTAAGTCTTTATTGGACGGAAGCAGCAGCTCTAAACACAGGAATAATGTCGCTACATCAAGCTTGTCAACAAATGAAACCAAACGCATCATGTGCGAATACAGTTAATCACTTTAAACAAATTGAATCCGAACTACAACTCGATGATAAATTACTTCATGATCATCGCTTCAAAAGAGGAGCAATTGACCTTGTAGGCAATATTGCACATTGACTGTTTGGAGTATTAGATTCAGAATATGCCAAAGGAATGTCAAATATAATTACAGAAGTGAAACAAAATGAAATACAATTATTGACGCTATTTAAGAATCAGACATCAGTTGTCGATTCAACAATCAACATAATGAAGAAAGATAAAATAGCAGTTCAAGAAGGTTCTGACCACATTGACAATGAAATAAAGGCATTAATAAATTCAATAAAAGATACAAATAGAGAGGTAAATCAATTACGGCTCAATCAAGTTTTCAATGCAGGAGCCATTCAATTAACACTGGTAGCACATAATCTACAGAAGATACAATCTGCTATTATAGATGCTTTAACTGATACTCATCATGGAAAAGTGAATCCATTGTTATTGACACCAACACAATTACAAAAGGAAGTTAATCAAATCAAACTTCATTTATCACCATCATTAGAATTACCGATGCCAGAAGATGAGTTAATATCCCTTTACAGACTAATGAAGGTTAAAGGTGGAATCACACAGCAGCATGCAGTTTTTAGTATAACACTACCCTTGATTGAACATGAACGATTTGAATTGTTTCAGCTAATTCCAATCCCGAACTGGGTAAATGACTCCATGACGGTAATTGACTCCTGCAGTTCTATTTTGGCTATTAATACGCAGCATGATCAATATTTTCCTCTTATAAAATCCGAATTAAGTCTTTGTGAGACCATTAAGGAAGAGGAATTTCTTTGCACCAACGTCCGTATACGATACAATTTTGGTTCCGAAGTATGTGCGTGTGAGGTCAACCTATTCAACAACAACACAATACCAAATTGTCGGTTGAAACACACTATCAACAAGCTGACCTGGATTCCATTGAATCACAAAAATCAATGGATTTATGCAACATCAACATCTTCACGAGCAACTGCAGTATGTAATAAGGAAATCATACCACTAAATCTAAAAGGTTCAGGATTATTGACGATAGATCCAGACTGCGTGCTTAAACACAACTTTGTTTCCGTGCAAGGACAACAAATAATTGCAAGCACGGCAAGATATTCATACAGTAGTCTTGGTACAATCTCCGAATTAAGGCTACAACCCCCTATGAAGACATCAGATGCTTACAACGGCAACAGTACACTGTCAACGATACGTAACAACCAATACGATCAACAGCTTAAAGAACTCACAGTATTGCAGAAGGTGTTGCAGTCATACCAGATAAATGATCTTCCAAATCAATTTCAGTCACACAAGTACCACAGCTTCACCATAGCTTACGCTGCACTCGTTATAGGGCTGATATTAATCATAATCATGATGAAGAAGAAATTGCAGAAAAAACATGTTGAAATTTCATCCGTTGAAGAAGCCAACCGCACGACACCTATTCCCATGCCACGACGACAGTCACGAGAATTCGTTATCAACATATAGTCGGACTGACTACCTGACAGCTAGAGGCTCATATTGTTGAACGGTTGTTCAACGCGGGGGAGAATGTTGAATATTTGTTTATATTATGTTATATTATTATATATGAATATTTTGTTGTCATTAATTTTGTATGAATAATTTGTTATTTTTATTTGTATTGTAATAATTGTGTTAAATATATTTGGTGTAAAAAATAACGTTGTCAATGCAATGCCCAAAATACGTCATACGCTTCTGCTGGCACATGAAAACAAAAGCGTCAAATTTCGTCTGCAAGAAAATGCACTCTTGCAGTTTGCAATAAGTTCATTGTTTGGCATGCATTGTCAAGGTTATTTTAGTTAATTTATTTGTTGTAAATTAATTATCAATTTTAAATAAAAGGCACAATTGAATTTTTGACAATTGAATTGATGCGAAGCCACATTCGTGATTGATTCATTTCTTTAGCTTTGTAAATTTAGTTCAAGTGCTGAATTTACGTCACAAAAGCGCCTATTCACTGGATTTAAGTGTTCAGTGACTAGGATAATTAGGACAATCGTCGAAATCTCTGGGTTCAAGTACTCAGTGGTTTTCTTGTTTAAATAGATCCAACATAAGTACTGGATTCAAGTGTTCAGTGCTTGCAAAATAGTTGATTCCAACGTTGATCAGACATTTTGGTTTGATCGTACAGTACTCTTCATGCCAACGACACCAAAAGTCCTCGTACATCTAGCTTAATAATCTCCATCGAAACAATATGCCTATTTTTGTGTTCAATATATTAGATTCTGGTATAGTGTTTGGCGCTCGTCCGATCAGAAAGTGACCTGGTGCCAATACTGACAGATCACCGGGATCATCAGATAGAGCAGTGAGTGATCGCGAATTCAACCAACTTTCAACTTGTTTTAGGAGTGTGTAGAATTCTTCAAACGTTAAAGTCGCGGTATTGATCACCCGTTTTAGATGAAATTTCACACTTTTGACTCCAGCTTCCCAAAGGCCCCCAAAATACGGAGCCGCAGGAGGAATAAAATGCCAATTTACGCCAATTGTTGAGGCGTACACAGAGCCAGCCTCCAGTTGGTTTCGTAATAATTGTAGTTCATCCTTCATTAGAGCATCAGCACAGACAAATGTTGTGCCGCGATCACTGTACATATCAGAAATTCGTGGAATAGAACTTATACAAATCGCTTTGAGGCGGCTAGAAACGTTTCTGTTGTCATATCGCTCACGTGTTCCAAATGAATGGCACGCGTAGCCCAACAAATAAAGAGAGCCACATAACCTTTATATGCCCGAAAGCCCCTACCCGCGTAATCCACTCCAGTGTGCATGAATGGTGATGAAGCTTTACATCGTTCTAGCGGTAGGTTACCCATGATTTGTGTTTGAGGACGGCAAGTGTGACGGAAATATGGGATGCACTTATGAATTACGCTCTTTACAGCCGATCTCCTACCAACAATCCCGAATTGCCTTCGTACATATGCCAATGTAGCTTGTGTTCCTCCATGTAATGTACGATGGTGAGCTTTAATAATGCCCAATGTAGTAAATGAATGATGCTTTGGTAAGATCATGGGACTCCTTTCGTTTACAGGAATGTTTGTATTTTGTAGGTGGCCACTAAGGCGCATGGTGCCTTCAAAATCAATTACAGGATTCAATTTGATGAGTTTACTTGATTTGTTGATTGGCTTCTTATTCAGTACAGCAATGTATTCGTTAGAAAATTGACTTTTTGTACAATTGCAACCTTTTTTTTGAGTGCGGCATACCGTTTAGGCCAAGTGCAGAAATTCTCGGATTTATGTGGTTTTCGTTGACATACATCAGTAAAACGGAGACATAGACGCATTACTCCAATTCGTCTGACAATGCTTCATCCCAATTTAATCCGGTACGCCAAAGCTGTTGTAGAAGGATCTTTCCTCGTATAGTCACTGGAGCTTTGAACCCAAGAGGATCAAAGAGTTTGGCTATGTCCGACAACATTAACCGCTTGGTGTAATGATGGTTGTCAAAATCTAAATTGCTTTTAAACCCAAAATGATCGGAATTTGTAAATCAAATAAGTCCTAGAGCTTTCATTTCACCTTCCTCGTTAATTTCTATCGTGTCATTATGAGCCTTTACGTTATCTTCAAGACTATTGGAGTTGGAGTTACATTTTCGTAAATTAAAACCAGCAGTTGCTAATAGTGTCTGGATTTCATGTAATTTTTCTGCCGCTTCCTTAGGATATCTGAGTCTTTGGTATGAACGAAAATTTGATGACACATTTTTTCAATATCATCTGTGAACATTACTGGGTACAGTCACCATTGCAATATGATATTCGGCAAATAGTTCAGCAGTTCGGGTCCTATATGGAGGCAATCATTAAGAGATATCCTACTAGCACATTTTTTGGATGCATTAAAAACGACGCGTAGTTTCGTGGTAGAACTTGATGCCTTATAGACGCCGTGATGAAAAAGGTAACACGTTCGATTCGATTCATCCAAATTTTGAACCACCTCCATGTGGCAGCATGCTTGGTATTCATACATGAAGTCATGATACAGTTGATTCAATGCGGGATTTCGAGAGAGCCGTCGTTGTGTACTGTCTAGTAATGCCAGCGCATCGTTCTTACTAGACTTAAGTTTTGGTAAATCCACATTCTTCTTCAGCGGAAGTTTGACAACATATCGACCAGTGTCGTTGCGTACAGTGGTACGTTCAAAAAAGTTTTCAAAAAATATTTCATTGTTTGTCAACGCAACATGATTTGTCACTTCTTCTAATTCCCAAAACTTCCGCAAAGTATCGCGTAAGGAAATTTGGGTATGATAGCACTTAGTTCGGCTTTTACACAATGCGTGTTTAGGTTCAGAAAATCCATCACAGATAACCCAGTCTAATACTATGTTTACATTACGAACTTTAGTGAACGAATTTTGCTAAAATTGATTCAGCGTTTACATTATCGTTTCGGGTTCTCATTTTAACAGTTGCTGTTTTTGTTATCTTTTGTTTACATTTGTTTTGTTTACATTTTGATAATTGTGAATATTGTGTTTGTTTACTATACGTTTTGATGAAAATTATGGATCAAAATATAATTACATTGCTCTGCAGTGAATCTGCACAACAAAAAAAAATAAAATAATTAATAAAGAAATTCCCCTTAATGAGTATGATTAATGTGTATGTTTGACAAATAATTTTTTTTAATTAGTTTAAACAAATATATAGGTTTTTGTATAAACTGAATAACATACTAAAGGTATTCAAAAATGTTCTGCAACTAATTGCATTTGGTATAATGAATAATTTTATAAATATAGTTTTCGAATTATTTCAAATATATTTTTTTTCTAAATCGACTAAAAGATAAAAATCACAATACATATATGCAAATAAGTTGTTTTTATTTAGGACTGTAAGGAATTATTAAGTTTTCGGAAAATTTCTTTACGAGGTGCAGTCTTACTTCTTTCTCAAGTAATAGCAAATTGGTGACATTAAAATCATGTATTTATATAAATCAGCAATTTGTTTTAAATATTTTTCTTGTATCTGAAAATAAAATCATTTTATAT